AATCTAATGTCATATTATGTTTACAAGAAATTGGGATTGGGTGAAGTCAAATCAACATCAATAAAGTTACAACTAGCTGATAGAACAATTTCAAAGCAACGTCGCAAAGTTGAGGATGTGCTCATAAAAGTAGGAAATTTAATATTTTCGGTGGACTTCATTTTGCTGGACATAACAGAAGATCAAGACATTCCAATTAGATTGGGGCGACCATTCTTAGTAACGGGTCAAACCCTAATTGACAGGGAGAATGGTGAGCTAATATTAAGGGTGGAGAACAAGCAAGATATATTTAATATTTATACCCCATTTGACAAACCTTTCAACAAAAATCATTGCTTTAGTATTGATGAAGAAGAGCCACCTGATCAACAAAACTATCAGAATAGAAAATCAAAATTTTGTGGACTTCTTGGTATAGATGAAAATGAAAATATAAAAATATGGAGAGTAAAAAAAGGGTATAAACAAAAATTGTACAAAGTGCAATGATGGTATAACTTGGTTCGAGCCACCATGATAAAACATGACACAAATTCAAACTAATGATGTTAAAGAAGTGTTTCTTGGGAGGCAACCCAAGTTTTTTTCCTTCTTATTTATTCTATTTTTGAGTTTTAAGATAGTTTAGTTTAGTTTAAATTTATTTTTGACTTACCATCAATATCCCGTTTCCCCTTATATCTTCAATATGTTAGTTGGTTTATTAGATGTTATAGTTAAGTAACATTTGTTCCAATTATTTGATCTTAATGCTTTATTTGATTTTTCAGAAGCATGACGTCGTAGAACATTTAAACCAATATTGATCAAGGAGCCAACAGGAGCAATATGAAAGCTATCCATTGAATTACAAGTTATATCAGGGAAGTCTTTTCTTTACTTTCTTTCCCACCCCTTTATATGCAAATTTAGGATTAAAGACATTGAACACAATGTTTAGTTTAAGTTTTGAGGTGGAAAATAAGAGTTTTCATTTTTTATGTGTTTTTTGGTGCTTTTATTGCTTTAGTAAAAAAAATTTTTATAAAAAGTAATAAAAAAATATAATAAAAATACTTTCTTTCTGTGTGTTTGTATGAGTTAGTTGGCCGGCTGATAATGCTGAATATATTGAATCATGAATTGATATATGAATAGTGAATAAGTTACATACTTAAACTAATTTTTGTTTTTCCATGTGAAATTT